AAAGTCAGTGTTAATTATACGATTTGCAAACCCTTCGCAAGTGTGCCATGGCGTAATAGCGCAAAAAAATGGCGCTAAAAGGAAAACAAAAAAATTTGGTCGATGGATCTAAAATTTTCCCCTACAACAGAAAAAAAGAGTAGTCGTAACAGAAAAAAGCCCGGGGGCCTGGGTTGAAAAGTCTGTTCCACAAGGCCAGTACTAGCCCTTTTTTGTTCCTCTCCTCAACCCGACAGCAAGGATGAAAGCCCCCTTTCCCGTGTTTCCTTTGCAATGCACCCAAAATCTGCATGACGTGTTTTCCTTTGCAGAACTGAAAGGGCCCCAGGCGGAAAATAACCCAAAATCTTTCGTGGGGCAGAAAAAAATTGAAGTTCAACGAGGGGAAATTTCAATTATAATAGGTAAACGAGGAAATTTTTAAATTTCTCAGATAAAAAACAATTCTGGCCACAAAATAAGCGAAACACCAACGTCAAGCCCGGGGATGATTATGTCGGGGATTCACCTTCAAGGACCATAAAGTATAAAAATCGCATCTGCAGAAAAAGACAGGATGGATAAGGGAAAACCCTTCAAATGGGGGCCAACCCCATGTGAACTCTTCAGGCACTTGTTCTTTGGGCAAAAATTTTTGCTGACTCTAACAGCCCTTTCAAGGCAGGTAAAATTGCCGCTAGAAAATGTACAGAGAACTTTCACGGCGCGCATAAGGGGAGATAAAAACCTCAATTCTGGGAGCGCTTGGGGTTTCAAAACCCTTATCCCTGGAAGCAGGGGGAGAGATAATGTTTATTTAAAAGGGAAAATCTAGAGGCTGTACCAAAACTTGCACACAAAAAATCCCCACTACGAAAGCAAAAATTTTGGCAGACGATCACCACCCCCCCAATAAAAAGCGGGGGTGTCACTAGCCGTTAAGGACCATACAATAAGGTCAGGGGGACCGGGGGACTGTTAACTCCCTCCCCCAAACAAAAGGGGGTTACCAACAGCCCCCTGGCAGTCTTCAAGCGGGCCCTTTGGACAACACCTAAAGGCATTTCCCTGATACCCGGGGGCTGTGGCTGTACTTTGGGGTTTGCGTGCGCCAGCAGAAAACAGCCTGGTTGATCGGCGCTGATCCCCAGGGGTGGTCACAGACCGGGCCGGGGGGGTTTTGCCCCCCGAAACTCTCTCAGGAAAACCCCAAAGCCCCTCCACCCTGACGGGCGGGAGTATTACCTTTAAGAATAGGGAGATTTTAAAGGGCTAATTTTTTCAAAAATATCCGCTGCAAGAAAAAAAAAAAAAATCACTTTGTACAAGGGTTGTGGGAAGCCCACAGTACCACGCAAAAAATTTAAGAGAGTTGCTTAGAACGGTGACTGGTTGTTATTTTGGGGAATGATGGGGAGAGAGCTGACTTGCCTAATCGTTTTTTATGAACGCGCACCGCTTAAAAGGCGTGGAAGGATGTATTTTGGCCCCAAGTGTTTAAAAAGGAGTTTTCCAATTCCATGTTCAGACAGTAATCATTTTGAATTTTGTAAAGAAAAGAATTTTGTTTGTGACCGTAAACCTGGTAGCAAAGGTAGTATTTTGCGAGGTTGTTTTGAGCTTCTTTCGATGAAACGTCGTCAGTAGGTTGTCTTGGATTTCGTAGTAGTACCGCAGGGGCGGATTTGACCTGAGGGAGGGGGACGTAGAAAACCATTGCCCCGTATTTGGAAAGCCAGACGCTTTGTGAAAGGCGTACTAGAAGTAGCACAAAACAGAAATGGTGACGCCGCGCCCCTGAAGCAGGTGCAAAGCATCACGGCAAAAAGGTCGGGTAGAGAAGTCAAGAGAAGGGGACCAATAACGAAGCCGGTCAAAAGGGGGTGTGGGTCAGAAAGGGGCTGGGAGGAGGAGGGAAAAAGACCCAAAATAAAGAAGCTTCATCTGTGATTTTCCCTTTCTTGTTTTTTAAGAAAAAAAATGAAAAAATAAAAAATGAGGGACAGGGGGAGGGACAGTTATGGAGGCATGGCAGGGTGGAAAGCATCCCCTTCCAAGGGGGGGCCGACTCAAGGCAGTGAATTGCTGTGGAACCATGCTATACCTACCCTTCACGCCATAAACCAGTGCCCGGATAGCAGCCTCACATCCCCGAGCCACCGGTGGACAAAAGAAAGGGTGTTTGGAAAAACGCCACAAAGCATATCTCTTGGGGCTCCCACCCCCCCAAACCAACAGGCAGCTTTGGGTTTCACCCATTATCTGGGGGCCTCCGCCCCTTCTCGGAAATTGGGGAAGGGGAGCAGGGCACCTTCAACAACAATTCCATGGCAAACCAACCCCCCCCGAGGGGCCCCATGGAGTGGGATGAACCTCCGCCACTTCCACCCTTTGAAACCGTAATGCCCGAGGGAAGGGCCCTAAAGGGTTTTAAAAAGGGGCGGGAAAAAAGGGGGGTTGGGGAAAGGGGGGTGGGGAGGGGAACGGGAAGGGGGGGGGGGGTAATTTGGTTCAGTCTCAGGGAAAAAACCCCAAAAGGGTCCAATGCCTCAGACCAAAAGCCTCTTTTCTGCAACAAGGGGCTCCCTTAAAGAGGTGCACCCCCTATGAGTGGAAAAGTTACCTAGTTGGGGTTTTTTAGGGTAAAACCCTTGGGAAATAATGGTAAGGGTTGGGTTTTAGTGGGATTGTACGAGGGGACGTTATCAGGCTTATTTGTTGGGTGGCATTTAAAATTTGGGTTTGGGGAAATGTTTTGTTATGGGATGGATTGTGAAGGACCCGCCTGTATGGGCCAACAGACCCGCTGGGGTTCTCCTTTTTTGTTCTAAAACCCAAAAAAGGCAAGTCAAGTTATTCAAAGGGAGAGGGGGGGGGAGGGGCAAACCCCTTTCATTTTTTTGAGTCCCACACACTACTTTTAAATTTATTTTTTTTAAATTAGAACCGTAATGCCAGAGGGGGGGCCCCAGAGGCTAATTACGTTCGGTCTGAGGGAAAAAAAGACAAAAGGTCAATTCTCGGACGTATAGCCCTCCACCACAAAAAAGGGCCCCCTTGGAAGAGATGTTTTTTTCAAAGAAACCCCGTATCCACGAAAAATTTCAATTATCAGAAGCTCAGAAAAGAAAAATTTTCCAAAGAATCAACAAAAAATGCGCAGCTTGGGAAAAAACAAAACACCTTACAGAATTTTTTTTGCTTTTGATGGAAAATGAGCTACAATAAACCCTTTCCCCTACCCGAGATTTTTTTCTGGGACACACCCGCATTCCCAAGTACATCTGCAGAAAATAAAAAGAACATACCAGATCAAGACAGTAAAGGTGATGAATCACCACAACCACATTCTACAGATACTTGTGTAACATGGACAGTGAAGCTCCACCATGTGATTCAGACCCAGCCAGGTGGTTTCCTGTCAGAGAAAAGCTTGTATCCTTTTGGTCAACTGCCACCATATATATAGATACCGAAAATGTGACACCTAAGATATAAATACACATCGGTAATTATATAAATTAGATGGAATATATTACAAACTGAAAATTATAGTCAGTTATTCTTAGTCAAAATTGAGAAAAATAAAATCAGACGTCTTCTTCGAAACCGAATATTTTTTTTTTCGAAAACGGCTGTTTATCATTCATTTTAGTTCATTTCTTATTTGTAATTCAGTTTAATTTCCATGTTGAGGCCCCCCCCCAAGCCTAAAGTGCCCCGGGCCCTCAAAGGTCTATATCAGGCCCTGATCAAGACTAAGCACTAAACCCACAAGAGATGTCAAATACGTAAGCCCAACATCAAGGAGACGGTTATCAACACAAGTCCATGGACAATGTTCATTAGAATTACGAATATGTGGTAAATAAGTGTCTTTGGGCTAGTGTTCAGGGCATTTCAAATATCAAGGTTGAAGCCAAGTTAACACACAGTAACAAGACTGTATTAGTCCCTTAGTTACCAAATGACAACCATCCCCCCTACCCCCCTTTCCATCACCCTCCAACCAGTAACAACTAACTACTCACTCCCAATCTCCTCCACCAGCAGCAAACCCCCGACCCCTTTCCCTAACAACCTTTCCCCGTCCCACAACAACCACTGACGTCATCCCCCCCCTCCCCCAGGCCAGTGGCGCCATTTAGCCATGGAGGTCAAGAATAATGGCGCCACTAGTCATTCCTCTGCCATCCACCACACCAACACCTCTTCCAGTTCCATCAATTTGTGGTAATTTAAAAAAAAACTGATTACTCCAATTTCATGGTAATTTTTGATAGATCAGTTTTGAAAATATGTTAGCAATTTTTCTTTACATAATATTGAAGGAAGCATTCTAAATACATAGTAAAAATTCAAATTACTAGATTATTCATGAACTGCAGTAAGCAATAATGCCCATACTTTTATCTTTGCAGACATTGTTTTGGGGTGTTGCTGCTGGTGATATCTCTGAAGACTTGCAGCTGCCCACAACATGGACTTCACCACACAGCGGCTGCCCACAACATGGACTTCACCACACAGCGGCTGCCCACAACATGGACTTCACCACACAGCAGCTGCCCACAACATGGACTTCACCACACAGCGGCTGCCCACAACATGGACTTCACCACACAGCGGCTGCCCACAACATGGACTTCACCACACAGCGGCTGCCCACAACATGGACTTCACCACACAGCGGCTGCCCACAACATGGACTTCACCACACAGCGGCTGCCACAACATGGACTTCACCACACAGCGGCTGCCCACAACATGGACTTCACCACACAGCAGCTGCCCACAACATGGACTTCACCACACAGCGGCTGCCCACAACATGGACTTCACCACACAGCGGCTGCCCACAACATGGGGAATATCTTCAACCTACAATATTCGATAAACTTTAGTTAATTAAATTGTAATAAATAAATAGTCTTTCCTTATCACAGCAATGTTCAAGGAACACACAATGAACACACACAATGAACACAAAAGAAATAGAAAAAGGAAATAGCCGAGACAAGCCTCAACTGCTGTGTTTGTCAGCAGGACGGCAACATTCACACAATTCGGGAGCTTGAAGCTCGGGGGGAAAAAAAAAATATATATACCTACCCCAACCCTACTAACAGTGGTAGTAATGAGGCGAATAGCCTCAATACTACCATTAGTAGTAGTTTGAGGTATGATACATTTTTAAATTTCATTACCTTGTCAGGAAGCTATGCTAAGCCTGGTTGATCAGGCTCTGATCCACCAGGAGGCCTGGTCACAGACCGGGCCGCGGGGGCGATGACCCCCGGAACTCTCTCCAAGTAAGTGTTGCGACACTGCAGTGAAAATAGTGTTGTGCATGACTGTCCACTGCCCAAACACTTCAGCGTGCACAACCGAGGACTAACACAAGAGGTGATCATAATAGCCTGTCTCCAGTGTTGTTTGTCAGGAGGATTCTGTGGCAATTAAACAAGTTGGAGGGTAAACTTAGTGACACATTACAACCCAGCCCAACCTACTCCTAATATCCCTTAAAACATTGAGTAACTGGAAAAAAAATTTTTTGAAGTCAACCAT